GTCTATAGTTAACGCTAACCTGAACCAGAACTTAACTCACACCATACCTCTAAACCTAACTAGTAAAATTAACCATTACTGGTCTATAGTTAACTCTAACCTGAACCAGAACTTAACTCACACCATACCTCTAAACCTAACTAGTAAAATTAACCATTACTGGTCTATAGTTAACTCTAACCTGAACCAGAACTTAACTCACTCCATACCTCTAAACCTAACTAGTAAAATTAACCATTACTGGTCTATAGTTAACTCTAACCTGAACCAGAACTTAACTCACACCATACCTCTAAACCTAACTAGTAAAATTAACCATTACTGGTCTATAGTTAACTCTAACCTGAACCAGAACTTAACTCACTCCATACCTCTAAACCTAACTAGTAAAATTAACCATTACTGGTCTATAGTTAACACTAACCTGAACTTAACTCACTCCATACCTCTAAACCTAACTAGTAAAACACAGCAGAGCTGCAAACAAAGTGAGGACATTGAAGAGGTCCTCACTTTACATCAAAGGCCTCACTTTGATAATAACTATGGTGCAAATGGGCCTTACTCTGTAGCAAAAACAAGCACACACACACACACACACACACACACACACACACACACACACACACACACACACACACACACACACACCAACAACCAACATGGCCGCCCCCACAGATCATTCACTCGTGTCTAAATGAGCCCCTCTCTCAGGTGGGTTCAATCAGAGGGTCGGCAGGAAACAAGTCGAGTTTCAAAATAAAAGTCTGACTCAGTCATTCTTAAAACAAGAGCTTTCTTTAATCTGAACTTTGTGAAGAGATGAAATCAGTTTTCAGTTTCATCGTGTCTAAAAGCTGCAGACTGAGTCAGTCTTGTTTATCGTCTGCACACGTCTGAGTCTCTCTTCAGGAACAAACGGGGCGTGTCGGTGACTTCATGACAAACTGACTAAAACTGTTTGTCACCGAGGAGCTGCAGCTAAGTCCTGATCAGCTCCAAGTGTTCCTCCATGTTCTCCTCTGGTCCAGAGCTTTCTGTGGTCCTTTAAACAGGTCTGGACCAGCAGGTCTCCAGTCTGTCTGAAGGTCTTTAAAATGGTTTGTTTGTTTGTTTTGTGGGTGTTGGTTAAATCTGTTCTGGGTTTCAGTTCTTGTTTCTGACCACGACATCACGCTGGACCACGTGCGTTTTTAAAAAAAACAAAAACAAAACTGAACAGGATTTGAGGAAACGAACAAACATAAAAAATCRAGAAATCCTAACCAGCTCCTCAGCTGAGAGCACGGGGGTGGGGGATTCATGGTTTGGGATGTTTATGCTGAGTGGACCACTCCTCTGAGAGTCATCAGTCTGTTTTCCCATGTGGCGTTTAAGCCCCGCCCACACAGGTCCTAACTATCAATCAAAGTGTAACATGACATTAACGACTGTCCAGCAGAAAGTTAAATCTACACCTGAAAACTTGATCTGAAGTGTTMAAGTTTTACTCAAGTAAATGTTTACCCAGAGGGGCGGGGCTTAAACACCGCCACTAGGGGGCGCACTTTCTGTGTTTCCAGGTGTGCTGGTACGTGAGAGTCCTCTTCAGACCCTCTCTTCCCCACATCTGAACATACATACACTCTATATATATATTTGGCTATATATATATATATATATATAT